GGGGTGTTGGGCAGAAAGAGCGTGCTACTGCATTGCAGTTGGCTAACAGTATCCGTCGTTGAAACCTAGTGAGTGTGTTCGAGTCTAACTTTCAGCACGACAAAGAGATAATGAATAGAACCTGAACAACAGGATGCTTAACAGAAAGCTTAATCAGATCCCATGAGAACAAGAATACAAGACATTCATTCTGCGTAATAATACTTTGAAATTCTATCCCAACCTTGAACCTAGAACACATAACTAAAAACCATTTCAAAACCTGTTTCTTAAGAAATCTTTCGAAAACTACTTCATAATGCGAAAATTGAACACAGCAATATTAGCTTTTCTACATGGATGGGTAGTCCAGAGTGTCCCCTGCAAAGTGGAAGCTAAGCAACCTCGTAAACTTTCGTAGTACAGGAGTGGCATTGATCAATATTTCCTTAGACGTGGGAATCACAAAAGTAAATGGAAATATAAGTAATCGACTACGCTGAGTATCATGGCAATGTTTGTCGTACGATACAAAACCAAGATGTACTCTATTTTATCTCTACTATGTTATTGAGTTCAAGAGAACTTCTAAAAATGGGCTGACGAGGGAACCTTTCGAGGTGAGAAATCGCTTTTTGTCTCCGACTATTTCATGATGTAGGGAATAGTGAGTAGTGAAAAATCCCAAGTTGGTTTGTGCCCAATGGGCCTTTTTGACCGAGGTATGAGTTAATTAATGAAAATATCATTAATAATAATTAATTAATAACTCACGATCTTGATCGGTTAGAAGTGTGAAATTTTCATTATTGATGGAGATAGATGTTGCCTACTTCCTGTGAGACTCTTACGTTTATGCACCAAACATTTCACAAGATATAAATTTTTTATGGTTTAGGCAGTTTTTAGTGAAAATTCACCATTGAAAACCTAAAAAATTGTTATCACCGTTTAGATACTTCTGTTCATGTTGATATAAGCTTTATTCTGTCAGAATACAAGCGGAAAATATTCCATTATAGTACTGTAAACTAAAACTATCGAAAACACAAAACCAGTTTTGTACGAATAGAGATCCGAACTTGTCAACTTAGCTTTGTTGTTGTTGACCACTACAGTGAGCGTACCACAATCACTCAACTTAGCTTTGTAGCAAACTACTACAAAACTAAATTCACTGTACTGTATCTATGTTCTGTACAACGATTGAAGTTGTGCAATCAACTTGATGTTATCAGTAGTAATTTTTTATGGTATGTGTTTCGTGTTCTGTTTTGATAAAATCTGTTCATGTTGCAGATGCTCAGCGACTCTTAGGGACCTATAAGATGCACCTAAGGCATACTAGTAGTGAAAAGACGTCAAAATGTTTTTTCACTACTAGTATGCCTTAGGTGCATCTTATCTAGACGAAATAAGCCTTTACTGAGCCAATAGAAGTATTTAAAAGGTGATAACAATTTTTTAGGTTTTCAATGGCGAATTTTCACTAAAAACTGCCTAAACCATAAAAAATTTATATCTTTTGAATGTTTAGTCTCATAGCAAGTAGGCAGCATCCATCTCCATCAAAATGAAAATGTCACACTTCTAACTGATCAAGATTGTTCATCAAGTCGCCAGCCATGAAAAATACGTTTAGAAAACGACTTTCTTAGAATTGCTAGAGATTAAAAAAAGTGAACGGATAAAGCCTAGCAGCTGTTACTAGTCTTGAAAAATGATTTATATTCTTTTTTGATACTTATTTTGTCTTAAAATCAAGCCTGGCGTAAGTGGATAACGCATAAAGCATGTATGTACTGTGAGAGTTAGGTACTCTAGTGTCGCAGAACTGTAAAAGATATGAAAAACTCATAATTTTAATTGAATTTGCTAGAGCTCTATATATTGAAAGCAAGCTCGAAGTGCCGGAATGCTCTAATCGGGTAGATAATGCGTATTTAATGAGATCAGCCAGTGCATATATCTAGCTGCTAGCAATAGGACTTATTTATAAAATAGCGGAAGTGCACAGATATTTATCTTTTTATACACTTGGCATCTGGGAATTTTTGAGAGGTCACATTTAGTTTTTTGAGATATAAGCGCTATTTTCTATCCTTTAACAGCTGCTACGTTGTCTAATTTGATACATTCCGATAAACTAGCGACGCACAATGCGTCGGCGACCTGATGACGTGAGTTATTAATTAATTATTATTAATGGTATTTTCATTAATTAACTCATACCTCGGTCGAAAAGGCCCATTGGGCACAAACCAACTTGGAGTTTTTCACTGCTCACTATTCCCTACATGATGAAAACAGTCGGAGTCGAAAAGCGATTTATCAGCTCGAAAGGTTCCCTCGTGAGTATACTTTGGTTTGGGATAACGGTTTTCTAGGAACCTCCAGAAGTAAGAAAATACTTTTTGCTAATTTTAAGCACAGAATCCCATTGAACAGATAAAACAGAATACTTCGAGCAAATCCGATGCCGCGCCTGGACCACGAAAGATTATGAGGTTGCTTAGCTCCACTCTGGGCTACCCATCCATATAGAAAAGCTAATAATAATTGCTGTGTAAAATTTTCGCAGTATGAAGTTTTCGAAAGATCTCTTAAGAAACAGGTTTTGAAGTATTTCCCAGTTGTGTGTTCCTATGTTGCAGTGGCGTACGAAGAAGATTATGAATCTTTATATACAGAGTTCGAATCTCTGCAAGAACTTCTTTTCTTTTTTTCCTTTCATTTTTTTCATTCTATATATGAGTAAATTGCATAACCATTGTAACGTTTGCAGAAAAGAAGGGTAAAAAATGAAAGTTGTTAAAATAAAAAACGGAGTCGACCATTCGATAGAGCATATTTGACTACCTAAAAACACGTAGTTTCCCTACAGTTGATGTAGAAAAGTTCGAGATAATAAACTCTATAGAAGAACTTACCAATCCCCGAGGCAATGGTCGAAGAAAAGGTTTTCTAAAAATCCATCCCTATTGCCACCAACACTATATGTTGCAGTGTTTTGCTTGATCAGCTGCATAAAAACATCGAATGGGTATCCCTTAGGCATGATTTCTGGCCTCTTAGTACCAAATAGTGCGTATTACATATAGCAGGACATTTTCGTATGTTGACATATAGCCGGACCTTTGACATGTATATCGTGATTATCTCCTGAACGGAAAGCTCGTTCGCGCTTATTTTTCTACTACGGCTAGCAGGTGATACAAGAAAAAAAGGGTAGGAATTTCAAGTCAAACGCGCTAAGTCTCGTGGAGATATTCATTCGACAATTTTCGACATATAGCCGGATAAAAGTGTGTGAATAACCACTTACTCGACTTTTCTCCCCATAAACACCGAACTTGAAATCAATCTTTTTTTGACAAAAATCTATTCTGCACTAGGCTCTAATATTTGACACAGAAATGAGATTTGTATGCCTTTTCTGGAATGAGCAAAATGGCATAGGTTATAGCAGGACATAATTTCTTCAAAATGTCTGTAACTGTGGTATATCATAAAATTCTAGCTCACATAGTATTTTGAGCGCAAACGAATTCCATATTCCGAAAGTCCAGATTGTTTTCTTCATGAATGTCCTGGAAGTTTCGGAAAACTTTCACTTTCTATATAAAACAGTGGACGACCGCACGGGTGGTGGAGCCACTTTTCGACGTTTTTTAACTTTCAAATCCCATAGTTGCCGAACGAAATGCGACTGAAACCTGATTTTTTCAGAAAGTGTGCGGAGCGATTAGAACAGTAAGAAAAAAATTTTGTCCAGATTGGTTCACAAAAGCGCGAGTTATTCTCAAAATACACATTGAAACGTAACGGCACAATGAATATGCAATTTACCCATATATACCCGCTGCAACTAGTACTGAAGCGGGTTAACGGGTTTGTTGCAACTAGCCGCACCCGCTAAATTGTTTACCCTTTTAGCTAGCTGCAGTGAATGGAGAGGTGGGCGATTCTTCAACAAGTGCAGCTAACTTATTTCTTATGAAGTTTCATACTTGGGATAGGATTGATCATAGGCGGCGGAACCACTGGGCTGGTTAAGGCGTAAGCCTTACTCGAATTTGGCTCTGTTAGGGTGAGCCTTATTCGGTTTTTATGTAGATTTGTAATTTTTTTCGCGAATTTGCTTATATTGTGTTAAAGAAATGAAGAACAATCAGATAGCAACAGAATTTCACCGTCCAGTCGGAGCTTCTTAGCAGCATCTTTTCTTGTTTTTGTAGCGGGCGTTGCTGAGTGATGTCCTAGGATTTCGCCATTGGAATTTCGAAGGAATTTGGCAGTATTGTCGAATATACAGAGCAAAGCCGCGAACAATTTCGACAATTGTCGAAAATAGGTATGATTTTCTTCGCACTGTCGTATTTACAATGAACTTCGACAATTGCCGAAAATCCAACGGAATTTCGACAGTAATTTTCAGTTGCACCTGAAGTGAAATTTTTAATAGCATACACCGTGCGTAATAATAAAATAGTACACTGTGTTTTCATAATCTATAATTTGTGTATTCTAAATAATACCAGGAATCACGCCAGCATTATGCGCTGACAGTCCAGGTCTTCTGTTCAAAATCGGAGTGAAGTGAGACCTTCATTTTCCAGATGGGTGGATGGATGGATATAGGTTAGTCTTAGAATCGGTTTCCAGAATTCAACAATGATGGCTGTACTCATTTTTTTCTGTTATTTTGTCGTTTTACGTTTTAAAGGCATTGACTTCATTTTATCGATCAAATGCATAATTCTAATGTTGAAAACTTTAGCTCAAAAATCCGGTCAGCTCTCACCTCAAACAAAAATCTGCTTCTTAGGTTCATTCAGATTGCCAGTTTCCGACTTATTTCCTAGATGCATTCAACATCGTGAATCTTTCGGCACATTAGAAGATTGTGATAACATTCTTATCGCAAAATGTGGGTTTATGTTGATGTAAAGATCGATTGGACTGAAAGTAGCTCATTTTAGATTACTGTTCATGCCAATGTTTTAGATAATATTAAATAAATGTCATCAAAGCGACCCCGTGGTCCAATTCTTGACGACTTCGTCAAACAAGCAAAAAATGGCACGCCTTCAAAAGAAGCAACAGCCTTAACCGATATCAACGGTATGTCAACAGCTTACTACGGTCAAGACAGTCGCCTATCATCCTCAGCTCAATTTCCTTCTCATATTCACACAACAAGTTTGTCGGATCTCAATACTTTACCGAGAGATTTCTATGAATACGAAAGTCAGCCACCATACATTTTCTTAGTGAATAAGCCAGTAGGATTCCGCAGTATTCTGCATGATATGACAACGGAGACCAAATAGCCTAGCATAGCATCTCAATTTCTTTGTAGTTCATATAAACAAAGCTCGAACAAAATTTGTTTTGGATAAGGGACTACCTTACGCTGAGCCTTACGCCAATTGAAAACGTTTCACTGCCTCTGGGATTGATAGGAACTTGTGATCAAAAACTTTCAAATTTAGCTAAGATTCGCATCGAGTCGTGCCACGATCCTGGAGACAGAATGCTATGAAAAGTCTTGACATAACTTGAAAATGTTTGATCACAAGTTCCTATCAAGTCCTAATGGGACCCTATCCAAAATTTTAGCACAATCTTGCCCTGATCTTGGCAAGGAGAAAGAGGGATCTTGAGAAGAAAAAGCCAATAATTTTAATAGATTTAGAATTACAACAACAAAAAGTACAACTTATACAAGACACAACCACCATCAGCATTCCTCCTTCACCTTCATCATCTAAATCATTGAAAAGTATCAAGGGAAGAGATGGCGTCGGTGACCGACCATTGCTGTTCGATTGCAAACAACTGTTCCAAACATGGACTCGTGGCAAATTAAGCTTGGTTGTATTCAATATTGTACTCATCATAGCTGTAGCTCTCGCAGTCGTCTTCATATTCATGCATTTTGCAGCAAAGTTAAAAGGTAGACCGCATTGCATTTCGTGAATTGCATGCCAATGTCGCCGTTCTATTTTGAAGTATATTTTGACTATAAATCCAGAGCCGCTGAACCGACCGAGCTCAATTTTTTCCCCTACACACGTCTCACGGCTATCTAAACTTCCTAATTAGAAAAACAGAGTGCCCTATTCTGAGTTATACTAATGCGAAAAAATGATACCATCTGCTAAATGAAAGAATACTTTTTTCTTCACTTGTTCATCTATTCTACGCAAAACACTCAACGAGATGACTACTTAAGCCGACCGGCAAAATTTTTGAATTCGGTCGATATTGTATCTGACTGACGAGGGAACCTTTTGAGATGTTAAACCGCTTTGCCGATGAAACTATTCTTAGTAGATAGGCTTTGATGAGTAGTGAGAAATGTTAACTTGGTTCGCTTTTCTAATTCTTCGTCCCCGAGACATCGAATTTTTGATTAATTTTTCAGCGGATTTCTAATTTTTTCAGCATAAGTATGGTTAAGAATTTTTGACTGAAACTTTAACTATTCGTTGCTCTCAATGTCACAACGCTACAGAAAGCGATTCAGAATTTTGCGATTTATGAAGGAGAAGAAATACAGTAGCGAAGAAATAGCTGACTGGCGAAAAACGTGGATCCTAGGGACAACTCGCAGCCAAATGCCATCAGCGTGTAAATATTTCGTGAGAAATTACTAAGATATGAGTCTCTTATTGGATACTTTTGCCAATTGGAAATGCTGAGCCTTCAGTCAAGTGCCTGTAAATCGGGTTATGGTTGATCGATCCACTTTAAAAGGATATTTCTGAATCACCATAGGCTCACAAGTGTTTGCTGAAGGTTTCAAAAAACCACAACTCTCGATGAAGCAGAGATACAGTTCGATTATGACCTGGCCGTTGCACGGTTTACCAAACGCTTGACTCTCATCCAGATAGAATGGTCTTTGCGCACAAGAAAATACATATACAAAGCTACACTTAGCACTGAAAAAAAGGAAAGTAAATTTAGATCGAAATTCGAGTAATTTCCTGTTGGATTCGTCTGGGGACTTAGTTCAGAGCTTATACTCTTAGCCCAAGTAGATCTGGACATGCTCTATACAGTGAATAAGTCACTTTCCCTTATCGCCAAAAGTAGCCGCTCAAGTCTTTCTTTCTACAGAGCGTGTATATAGCTGCCATTGTGGTATTGCGATTTGCTTGATAACTGGTTTCGGGCTTTTAATCATGATTGATGTCGAAAATATAGTGAACACCGCTCTGTTTTGCAATGAACTAGCATCGTCATCTGAACACGATCGGCAAAAGCGCTAGATTGCTCACAAACCGATCGGATCGGTTTGTGAGCAACCTACTCATTGAATGAGTCCTAGTATATCATTCTATTCGTCTATTAGAAGTTTCTTTGCCTAGTGTGAAAACTCAACCAGAAAAAGTGACTTTTTCACAGATGTCGAGTATGTCCAGAGCTACTTGGACCAAGAGTAGGCTCTGGACCAAGCCCTCTAACGAATCTAACAGGGAATTATTCGAATCTTGTTCTAACGTAGCCTACGTAATATTGCGTGTTATGTGTGTGTGTGCGGTGAGAAGATCCGCTGTATTGAAACCGAATCAGCATATAAGACGTTATTAAGCACGCAAACAAATTAAATTACTTTTTAGTTGACTGTCAGACCGGCGATAAGTGTTCAGGACACCCAGTCCTGTCTAATTCACTCCAACCGATATCGGTTAATAGAAAGACCGGCTTTGTTCCGTCTGTGAAAACAACAAGGCAAAGAAACAGATCTAAAACCCATTTAAAAAAATACAGGATCTCCAATCAACTGCCTATAGTCCTCTTCTTTGCACTCAAAACTGATTTGCCACTTGAGGACCTTCCCTAGTGAGAAAATTTCTCCTACTGATAATGTTTTCTTATTATTACAGGAGTATTACCTAACTTATCTGCTGATCATGTCCGAATCTCACCATCATTTGAAAGACTTGAAGACTTATCGGTAGATAAATTGTATGATTTTTTACTTGGTCAAGATCAAAATCTGAAACCATTAGCAGTAAAATTTAAAAATGATCGAGTTTCCGGCATTGATTTGATGAATTTTGGAGACGATGATTATCAAAATTTTTCTGTTACCTACAAACAAAAAAACCAGCTAAAACTTCTTATTAAACAAAAACAACTGGGTTCAACTTCTAATTTGACTGTCTCAACTCGCAACGAGCTCGATCTGTCACTAATGCAAAATGAACTAAATCATTCTAATGATACTGTACAAAATCAAAAGGAACAGATTCAACAAAAAAATATAATTATTAAAAGATATGAAGATACTGTTGAAAAACTAAATCAAGAAATAGAAGGACAAAATTCAACAATAAAACAATTACAAACGACCATTCAAAAACAAAGTCTACAAATTTTAGCCTTGATGGATCTAACGAATCAACAGCTGAGTCAAACTAATACTTCTTCTTCAGGTCCCCCTCCTAAAAATTCTTTTACAGAACAATCATCAACTGTCAAAGACCAATTAACAAATATATCTGCTGATATTCAACTAATTCCAATTTTATCACCTGGTTCATCAGCTCAAGTTGTTCCCATAATTCAGCCAGAAGCTCCAACAGCCATTCGTTTAAACAAAAGTAAACCGCATGTTCCAGCACGTATGACATCTCTTCCAACTTCATCTGAAGGCCCTAACTCATCAGTTGTTAAATTTCCAACTGTTTATCATCCACAACGAGAAATTCTTGTTATAAAACCAGTTATGGAAGATCCATATAACATAAGTAATTATGGAACATATAGAGTAAAAATATTTTCTGAAGATTCACAACATATTCTGGTTGAAACATTGGTAAATCTTGTTCCTCAAATAGAAGTATGTGTTCCAAAACAATTCGAAGTGCGTGATTCAATTCATAATTTGATAGTGGGTGGAATTGTTACATTAAAACGTGTAGGAGAAAGTGTAGTGGCTTTCGCCGGTGAAACAGATCAAACTGGTACGGTTACTTTACCAGATAACCTTGCCGATGGTTCTTATGAAGTTGAAATTTATTCGCCAAATAATTCTAAACTTCAACGCCTAAAATTCTTCATGGTGATTTTTCAAAATCGAAGACAAGGCACAGCAAAGCCATTTATTGGACGAGGTGATCTCAATCCAAATGAAATAGAAATTGTACTTCGATGGGCTGCAGTGCCTAGAGATTTAGATTCTCATCTATATTCATCTGACGGTAGGCATATCCATTATCGAAATAAAATTGATGGAAATATGTCATTGGATTGGGATGTAACAACCGGAAATGGTCCCGAAACTGTTAAATTTACTATTCAACCAAATTTGAAATATATTTATGCAGTGCATTGTTATTCGTCAGAACCTATGCTCACTCGGTCGAAAGGAGAACTTACATTCAATATCGACGCAACAACTACGCAAATAAATAAATTCGGAAAGCAAAATAAGTTAACCAATGGTGAAATTCATAAGATTCCAGAGTTAACACGTCCTCAAGCTAGATTCTGGGTTGTATGTATGGTTGATGGTTCAACAAAACAAATTCATTTTTTTGAAAATGTGTTTGAAGATCATAATAATTACCAAACAAACGAAATTGGTCTAAAATATTTTGCAGCATAACAGAACACTTACAGACGCTGTTCGTCTCACTTTTCTGTTATAAACACTTTCTAATGCGTGCCTTATACTATCGACGTCAAAATAAAATGAGCATGGATGTTTCTTTAATATCGTGGAAATGGAAACCGCTAGCCCTCTGCGGTTTTCACTGTTAGAAAGAGATATGTGGTGGAAACAAAAACAAGTCAAATTCAATTGGCCAGAAGTTGACCAATCAGATGAGCTTTTACTGGACATTCTGTGGACGTTATTCTGGAAACATTTTTAATTTGATTTGGTCTTCCAATGAAACCATTCGATAGAGAAAATTGTTCTCTTTCGATATGCGCAAAGCCGACCTTGCTAGCTGTTCTATTCAAGAGCTACAAGCATTTTTCCACTGAGTTCCGATTTCGGCCAGCTGACCTTTGATCACTCCAGAACGGAACAAACTAGGAAGGTCGACTTTGCGCAGATTGAAAGAGAACAGTTTTCTCTATCGAATGGTTTCATTGGAAGACCGAATCAAATTAAAATGTTTGCAGAATACCGTCCAGCAAAAACAGATCTGATTGGTCAATTGCTGGTCAATCAAATTTCTCGTGTTTTTATTTGTCTCACATTTCTCTTTCTAACATAACAGGGAAATGGGCTGAACGTTCGAGTAGACAAAAATGATAGAATGAAGTTGGAAAAAACAAAAAGGCGAACAAAACGAAAGTCGTCAAGTTTCGTTACTATTATCATCTGTTCTCAGGTCGATTAATCTCACTTCAAATCCTACCGATGATAGGATTTCATGAGATTTCTAAACAGAATACTAACAATTTCTATGCCATCTTTTCATACGAAGTCTTAGAATTATCTGATTGCTAGCAGTTATATTTTTTCAATCATGATTGAACGGTCGTATTTTTCATACCAAGATTCCCGCCGAAGGAATTGTTTACTAATTTTTTAAATAAGTCCTTCCTAGATTGATCACTCCTACGTATGATTCTACAAGATTCTTCGTTAGAGTAGAATTCCTTCAAGAAATCGGTATATCGGATTTCCTTTACAAGATCCTAGGACAGGATTCAATGGAATTCTATAAACTCCTATGGTACGGTTTCGTAAGAATACCCGATATTCCAATTTCTTAAAAAGTCCTAGGAAACTCTGTAGGAATCTTTTCCGGCTGAATTTTTTGAAAATGACTTGTACATTTTTCCATAGTTTTAGTTTTGAAATGCTATAAAGGAGATTTTTCCCTTTGTATTCTGAAGAATAACACTTACATCAATTGTATGAACACTCGCTTCGCTAAGCTCAAAGGTCCCATATAGAGACCTAAAATACTGAAGAGCTCATTTTCAGTTCCCACAAGACTGAAGATTTTACCATGAAGAAGAATTATGCGCATGATTCAAGTAAGCTATGCTTTCTCAGAAGGTCCAATCGCTTGCTACAAGAATGATCATACATAATTTGCCCTCGTGTCTTGCATGTTCGAATATCTTCTTTCAGCCCTGATTACACCATGTTTTATCCTGTTTTCTCTTAGGAAACACAACACAATACATCTCAGAATTAGTTAGGATTTGAGCTCAAAATCGATCCCGGCAATGAAAACTACTATCCATTTCAAAATAGAATGCAGTCGATTGCTTTTTGAATAACTCAGGAACGCTACTAGCCAGTGAGGTCGGATTTTCGCCGTTGAGCAGAGGAAATTTGGGGGCATCTAGGCACATAAGAATCATTTGGTTTTCCAAGATCTTCGAGGGTTTCCAGAAGATCTCTGAAAAGCCACCCTCGTGTGAATTTGGAATTTCGATCTTTAAGAACAGGTACGATCCGCCATAATCTCCTCTACAAAACCACGTAAGGCTGAGGTCGCTAGCTAGTTCCCTTCGGCGGCTATAATCATTTTGCTGAGAGCCCCGATTTCGGCCAGTTGACCTTGGATCATCGTAAAATGGGTCAAGATAGAGGTAATCGGTCACGCTGAGTCAAGTGGTGCTGTTTATTTTTACTTTCAAACCGATCTAAAGTCACTAGATCACGACTTTCGAAGTATCTGCTCTTTACGCAAAATAGCGGCAAAATGCTTGAATTTGAAAATTTGGACCTAGTGACTTTAGACCTAGTGATTTTGTCAACGACCAACTGTTTCAAAATGAGTTTTACTCCCAACAGTGGATATATGTAATTATGATTTGTTTCTGGTACAGTTTTGGCAAGAGTATAAGATAAAAAAATATAAAAAGCCAGAGAATATACATTGAACGGAATCTATCATGATTTAAACCATATATTGTGAGGAAAGGTCTTCAAGTGGCAAATCGCTTTTGGGTGAAAGTAAGAAGATTTCGATTATAACTTTTACAGATTTCTTGTAAACAGGATACAAAATAACCCAAATACTGTACACTCTTCTCTTTAGTCCATCTATCTACTTTACTTGAATTTAATATATATGGGTAGAGAATGTGTCTCATTTAAAGAAATACAAGTAGACAGTCGATGATGGTGATTCCAATTTCAAGTATCATAGTGCGGGTTTCTATTAAATCCTTGGAAATCTATATCACCGGAAAAAAAATAAAGTTGGTTTAGAGTTGCCGAAAAGTGGTATTTCGTACTCAGCACACTCGATAACTCAGAAGATTTTCTGTTTTTAGCCCGAGGTACTTCTGAAAGTTTAGGAAAAGTTTTCAAATTAATATTATTTTTCCATGGAAAACTTTTTGCGCCATTTTCTTTCAAAATTTTTCTTAAACTTTCGGAAGTACTCCGGGCCAAAAATAGAAAATCTTCTGGGTTATCGAGTCTGATGAATACGAAAAATCACTTTTCAGCAGCTCTAAACCAACTTTATTTTTTTTGTTCCGGTGAATGCTGTCGTTTTCTTGAAAAATGGATTTTCCAAATAAAATATTTGTCTTCAAAATTAATTTCTGATATATCTCAATCATAGAGCATGTCAAGTTATGCATGTGGATAACTATTTTCTGGCTATTGGATATGTTCTGATTGAGTTATAGTCAAAACACAGTTTTGCTGTCATCTGATGGAAATGGATACGGAGAATATGTTATTTTAATATGTCATTGTCCGATAGCCAAAAAATAGTTATCCACATGCATAACTTGACATGCTCTATGATTGAGATATATCAGAAATGAATTTTGAAGAAGAATACTTTTAACCCATTCAAACCCATTTAAAAAAATGCAGGATCTCCAAGGATCTAATACAAACCTGCACTATGATACTAGGAATCACCACCATCGACTGCCTATAGTCCTCTTCTTTGCACTCAAAACTGATTTGCCACGTGGGGACCTTCCCTAGTGAGAAAATTTCTCCTACTGATACCAATAATTATGTCATTCCTTGAATACTGATTTGCCAATGTGTCACGATATTCTTTTAACTTTAGAGGATCAGTATCAAGAAATGCCATGACCATTAGTATGAAATGTATTGATTGACTTATTGCATGAACATCATTGACGAGTTTGTGTAATGATGGAGTCGAACCTAAATCGTCAACTAAGAGTTCGTCGATAACCTTTTGATTATCAGCAATTGTTCATCTGATGAAAGTAAGTTAATATTCGTATCTCCACTAATAATATCCGTTAATGAATTTTCGTATGAATAAAACATTAATTTCACTTGAAACCTCTTTAACTTTTCACGTGATGACGATTCTTGTCGATCAATTTTATTTAGCTTTTCAATTATACCGCCTTATATTCTTTGTGTTTCTTTCAAATCGACACCGTTGTACAACTTTCTCACTTGTGTATATGAATGCAGGCTATATATGTTCGAACAAAATGCAATGTGTTTTAGCTCTTTAACCATTGCTTGAATTCGAGCTAGTATCTCGAGGGGTTCCTTTTGATCTCGTATATATTTTGACATAATTGTGTCTTTGATCATCAATATTGCTGATGTTGTTGACTCAGTTGTTGAATGTGAACTGAAACAGACTGGCAACTTATGTTGAACATCCAGTGGAAGCATACCACAGCCGAACTTGTAAACGGGCAACGTGACTAGCATGACTGATAGTTTCAGTTGATTTTCATTATCAGCTGTATGAATAACAGCAACAAGTAGCACAAGTTCTGCTAATGTAAGATGGTAGTTCATATTGTAAATTAATATTGTTGTGTAAAAGTTGAAAATTTTATCTAAAATTAAATTTTCTTGCAAAAAAAAAATGTTTACATTGTGCTATCGTTCATATCATAGATTCTATCGATCGATCATCATCAGTTATAAAAGAAATTATTGAATTCATTACAGTTTGTTTACTAATTAATGTTACCCTTCTTTTGTTTTTAGCTAGGTTGTGTTACAGTTGAATAGAGTGTAATAAATCTGTTTTTCACTTGTATCGGGTGGCCCAGATAAAATCGGACGCTTTCATTCGTTGTTATTAAGGCACTGCCCAATAGTCCCAAGAGTTTGTCCTAAGTGACATCGATAGAGAATGGAATTCTCTACAAAACCTGCTATTTGAATCTCTGATAGTATTTTTCTCATTTGAGCACTATTCAAAATATTGAAGGGTGCTGAGTTGTCAAATTGCGACAAGCGTCTGTCGTCTTCTTTTTTGAGATTTTTAGCCCATTGTCTGCAGTTTAATAATTAACTTATCTGCGTGGGTAGACAGAATTTTGTGCTCTATCGATCTCACCTCTTTACAGCTTCACTTTGTTTCTGTTGCGCCAGCTGGACTTATAATTAGTTATCAGCTGGCTGTTCAGTTTTTTCAAATTACATTGACTTTTTTAATTAATGGTTTCAATTGAGAATAGAATCTATTTAAAAACATTCGATTAACCTTAAAATGTACAATTTTGCCATATATCTCTCCTTAATTATTAGTAAAATAATGAGATTGCACCAAAGCATTATTTTTACCAGCAATTTTTATGTAAATTTTATTTTAGCAATTAATGTAATATTTGTTGTTCTTAAACAAGCACTTTGTTTCAAAATTAATTTTTCATTAGAAT